ACCATCCATCCACCATCCATCCACCATCCATCCACCATCCATCCACCATCCACCATCCACTATCCACCATCCACTATCCACCATCACTGGCCTTGAGTAGCTGAGCAGTCAGCTTCAGGCATCCTCCTGCCTCCACTCTCCAGCACCAGAATTCCAAGCTCCTCACCACTGCTGGCTCTGTGTGGCTTTAGCATCACGTCCTCACATTTGCAAGGTTTACCTACTGAACCATCTCCCCAGCCCGTCTGTTTTGTCTGAGACTGGGACTCACGATGTATCTTTGACTGGCCTGGAACTTAATATGTAGCCCAGGCTGACCTTCAAGTCACAGCTATCTTTCTGCTTCACTCTCCCAAGTGCTGTCTTAGAGACACGTGGCACACTCTGTTACTCTCAGCTTATTAGAGCCCTCACATGGCCCTGATCGGCAGCACCAGACCTCTGAGCTGGCTACAACCATTCAAACATCCAGAACACCATTTTTAAAAAAAGCAGCCAATGCAACAAACAGCACCTGAGGCCTTCCCTGGGAGTGGCTGTTCCTAGCACGGGGCTTTCCCTGCCTGCTTTCCCAGCCCTCCCCATTTCTGGGTACTTGGAGACCCCATCTATACAAGCTTAAACAACAAACACGGGTCTCCATTATATCCCAGAGCTCAATGGTGACAATTTGGCCGTAACTTAGGGCTTTGTCAAGGCCTGTCCCTCACAGCCACCTATGGGCCTTCCCTGTCCATTCTTGGCAGGTGGAAGAAACTGAGGCCCAGAGCAATAAAGACCTTTTCTTAGGACTGCAGATGGAGACACAGCCAAAGCCCTGGGTAAGCATTCACAGTGCCAGCCTCTCCAGTTTTCCTTCCCGACCTCCTCACCTTTGATCTGCTCGCTGTTCCCCTGAGGGGGTCCCAAGTCCAAGAACAAGCGTGGCATCTCGGGGCCCTTCCTCTCCAGCTTGGGGGGGTCCTCGTCTACGTTGGGGGCCATGTCTCCGCCGAGCCTGTTGTCTGGGACCCCTGGCTCTTCCTCTGGGGCCACCTCCAGTCTGGCCTTCAGGGGCACTGGCTCCGGCCTCCTCTGCTGGGCCCCCAGTGGCTGTGGCGGAGGTGGCAGTGGTCTCGAGTTGTCTACCCATCCGGCCTTTGCGTCCACGGCGTTTGCGGGGCCGCCGGCGGGGACCGTCCCCGCGCCCCCCGGGACTCGGCCCCCACTCCCGAGGTCCAGCTTCCCAGCCCCGGGGGCTCTCGGTGCCCCCCCACTCTCGTGGACTCTCCACTCGGTCCCGGGGTCCGGGTTCCCGCTCTTGGGGGCTGGGCCAAGCTGGCCAGGGGCCATCTCCAAGCCGTTCTGGGGCAAGGCTGCCTCGCAGGGCGCAGGGGCTCGATCCAGCAGGGTCTCGGGAGCTAGACCCCCAGTCTCGGGTGTCTTCTCCCAGGGCCCTGGGACTCTCCGAGGTCCAGTCTCTGGCGGCCTCTCCGTGTTCCTGGGCAGCCTCAGGACCCCATTCTCTGCCACCTTCTCCTCGCTCTTTGGGGACATCAGAACCCCATTCGCCAGCACCTTCTCCTCGGCCTCTGGGGACATCGGCTCCCCATTCACCAGGGCTCTCTCTCCTCTCTCCGGAGATTCCAGGCCATTCTCCGCCACCTTCTCCTTCACGTCCGGGGCTTCTGGCTTCCCGTTCTCCAACACTGTCACCCCGTTCACCGGAAGGCTCCTGCTGGGGACTTTCTTCCTGCTGACCAGGGATGTCAGGTCCCTGTTCGGGCCTGGGCCCTTCTCTCTGTTCTCGGGGCTTCTCCCCGCCTTCCTGGGTCCTGTCTCCCCGGGTGTCGACCCCTTGTCCCCTAGGAGGTTCTTTGTCACATCCTCCCGTAGGGACATCAGCAGCTGCTCGGTGCTCACCTGAACTACAAAGGTTGGCTTCTCCTGGGACCCTGGGAGTGGGAGGGGACCCGGGTCTGGGGGTGGCCGGGGCGCTCCTGGGTCGGGTGGCTCGGGGGGAGCCCGTGGCCGAGGGACCCCTTCCTCCTCGGCCGCCCCCCCACCTGGGAAGGCTCCCTCGGGGGAAAAAGGGGTCTCGGTCTCGTAGCCGCTGTCCCCCGGCTTGGGGCCCGGCGACGACAGGCCTGAGCCTGGACTGGCCAGGGCCGACGGGGGGTCGGGGGACGCGGCCGGTTCCGTGGAAGCCCGGGGAGGGGGGGGTGGAGGGGGGGGAGCGGGAGGTGGCCCCCGCCCGGGGTACTGGGGCGCTGCGGCCCCCATGAGGGGGTCCAGAAACTCGAGAGGGGCTGAGGTAGGGGGGACCAGAGGCAGGTCGGCCAGGGAGCCCCGCTCTGCACGCAGAGAAGAGTCGTCCTCTGGGGGGTGGGGACAACCAAGGGCAGGGTGACCCCCCCAGCCGGCAACAGCGTCCCCCCGCTCCAATGGCAGGCAGGAGCAGGGACCCTCGCGGCTGCACAGGGGACAGGGTAGGGGTCCCCGGCGGCTGGGTCCCCCTCCAAGGCTGCTGCTGTCCTCGCCTGGGGAGCTCTCTTCCTCCTCCTCTTCCGCCCAGGGTGCGGTACCCTGTTCCCCAAGCACCTCGGCAGGATCTCCTGCCAGGGTCTCTCCTGCGCCCCGGCCCTCGGGGTCCCAGCCACTCAGCAGGAAACCACCTGATCCCGAGGACTGGGCCGGGAAGGGTCGGGGTGCAGGGAAGAGAGGGGAGGCCCAGGTCTCGGACACCAGCTGAGGGACCTCGGAGGGAGCCTGGGGGGCCTGGGGACCGGGCACTCCTGGGTCCAGCGGGTCCCAGTCGTTGGGGAAGAGGGGTTCTGGTGGAGAACCGTGCTCCTCCAGGCGGATATAGTACTCGCTGCTCACCGAGGGACTGCGTGCGCTGATGACCGGCAGCACGCTGGGAGTGGACAGCGCGTCATAGAAGGGATTGGATGGATTGGTGTGGGGCGCTGGAGGCGCAGAAGCGGGCTGCCAGGGAGGTGCACCGCCACCCCGGCCTGCCCCACGGCGGGCCTTCTCCCACAGGCACTCAAGATTGAGGCCACGGCTGCTCTCAGTGACTGTGAGTACATCATCTGGGTCAGCCCCGGGGAAGCCATCCAGAAGGGGGAACTGCGAGGACAGGGTTCCCGGACGTGGTGCACTATGTGACGGGGGCCAGGGCCAGGGGAAGGGCCCATCTCGGGGAGGAGGTGGTGGAGGAGGGGGTCTTGGGGGCCGCTCAGACAGCAGGTAAGTGAGCTGCAGCTGCAGATCAGAGGCTGAGGGGCGCTGGGCTGGCGGCCGCCAGCAAGACTGCAGGATGTCATACCTGGGGACAAGTGAGGGAATAATAGAGAAGAACTCCAGAGGAGAGGGACAGAGGTCAATAGAGAGAGATAGCCAAAGACCAAGACCTGAGGCAGAGGGAGTCAGAGAAAAACAGAGGGGCAGGGTTGGCCTCAGGGAGGAGAGGGAGTGAAGCAGTTTCAATGTGCCACTCCCCTGCCTCAGTTTGCCCACTTCAGGCATCAGGTCATGGGGAAAGATGGATTGACAGATGCTCAGGGGCTGGGATAGAAAGTCTGGGAGTCAGGTGACTCACCAATAGTCAGCGTAGGGCAGCTTAAGCCTGGGTCGGGCCAGCTTGACGTGTTGCTGGCGGACAACAAAGGCCAGGACCTCCTCGTCCGATAGGTGACGATAGGGCTGCGCCCCGAACTCGAAAAGCTCCCAGAGTGTCACCCCCAGGGACCTGTGTGGGAGGTCAGAAGTCAGAGGTCAGAGAGAAGTGGAGCCCCCACCCCCCGGGCGCCAACTGTGGCCTCACCAGACGTTACTCTCACGGCTTTGATCCACCAGCACAAAGCTGCCGTGCAGCTCGCCCAGCAGCTCGGGCGCTGCCCAGCGCAGCGGCACCCACAGGCGCTCGGGTGTCAGGTAGTAGTCTTCCTAGGGGTGGGCGGGGTCAGCAGGTCAGCAGGAGACACACACTGATCCACACGCATAGACACATGCACACGCACTGCCCACCTTGTAGTTGCTATGCGCCAGCCCATAGTCTCCAATACGCACAGTCAGGTCTGAAGTTAGCAGGCAGTTGCGCAGCGCCAGATCGCTGCGGATAGGGATGGGGGAGGCAGAGTGAGGAGAAAGCCCTGCCCACGGTATGAGGGATCTCCTTCCCTTTCACAACTAAGTACATCTTGTGCCTCCTCTCCTGACCCGGTCCTCCCCCACCTCCATCCCCCCCCCCCCACCTGCCATGTTCCTCCTCCTCTTCTGAGTCCTTCCTCTCCTGACCCCTCATCTCCCTCTGGCTGCTCTTGTCTTGGCTCCTTCTCCCCTGTATCCCGCTCTTCTCCACTAGAATCCTTTCTCTCCTCACTCCTCCACCTTCTTTACTGACACCCTAGTCTTCCCTCCCTCTTCCACTGCTACCTCCAACCCCCTCCAATCTCTTCCCTCTCCTGACTCCTCCCTTTCTTTCAAAGTTCTTTCCTTTCCCTCCCGACTCCTCCTCTTGTGACTCCTCCCCCTCCTCTCCCCCTCCTCTCAGGGTCTCACTGTGCAGCCTTAGCTGTCCTCAACCCTGCTGGGATCTTCCAGTGCTGGGATTATAGGCCAGAGCCACCGCACCAGGTTTCCTCTTCTCTCAGCTCTTCTGTCCTACTTCTCCCCGTCTCCTGATTCCTCCCCTTCCTTTCCTTCAGAACTTCAGGGTGCCTACCACTTTAGAGTGCTTGCTTGCTCAGTTCTTCCTTGTGTCCCCTACTGTGGGTGCACCTAGCTCACCTGTGCACATAGTTGTGGGAGTGCAGGTGCGCCAGTCCTCGGGCAATCTCTAGGCCCATCCTCTGCAGTGTCCGAAGGTCTCGAGGGGGAAGTTCAGGGGACATGCCTTCAGGTGGCCGCTGGGCCCGAAGGTATCTCTTCAGGTCTCCCTGGGAGGGAGACAAGGCAGTTCAGCACAATCTGAAGTGAGCACATCTGAAGTATTCCCTACCCCACATTAGGTAGCCAGCCCCTCCACGCCTCAGTTCCCCCTGCTGCTTCACTTGCTAGTTAGCACAGCCTGGATATATAGCTTAGTTGGGTCAGATGCTTACCATATATGCATGATGCCCGGGATTCAACCCCCAGAACCAAAAATATTAAAAGAAAAAAAGGAGTGCTAAGATAGTCAGACAGGTGACTACAGGAATCTGAGACCCTGGAGTCCCAATGCCAAAGCTGACTTCCAGCTCCCAGCAGCCCCTCCCCTTCCCCAGCCCCCTCACCAGCTGGCAGAACTCCATGATCAACAGGAAGGGCAAGGTCTCCACACAGACGCCCAGGCACTGGAGGACGTTGGGATGCTGCAGGCTCCTTTAAGGGGCAGGAAAGGAGCAGCTACCATACAGAACCTGGCCTTGCCAAACCCTTTCCCAGGCATGTAGACCTGACCTGGGTATGATATCTCCCCTTCAGATTGTCCCTGACCTCCCACTGACATGTTCATAGCGCTCTATGCCTCCCCAGTGGCCCCCTGAAGCGCTCGCTGGTATTCCAGCTACTCACTGGCCAGACTCCACTTTCCCCAGGCTCTGCTCTGGGCCTTTGTACTTACAGCCCTACTCTATAGGCGACACTCCCCTCTCCCTCTCCTCCCT